TATGGGGATAATAATAAAAGAGGTTGAGAAATACTGAAATAGACAACTAGATAAATGCAATGGAAGAGAGAATCCAGAAACAGACCCACACATAGCAGTGCATTGAGTTTTGTCAAGCCACTAATGAGGAAAATCTTTTTAACAAATAGTGATGTCACAACTGAATATTCAAAGGGAAGAAAATAAACTTCCACTTCTATCTCACTCACTCACAAAAACACATTCACAATGGATTGTGATTCAAGTATAAAACCTCCCAAGATTCTCCAAGAAAACACTGGAGAATATCTTCACAAAACTGAAAAGATAAAAACAAAGATTTTTTTTTTAGAACTCAAAGGACTGACCATAAAAGAAAATATTGACAATTTAAACATTTCATCTCCTCAAAACACACCACTAAGGAAGTGAATAAACAAGCCACAGACTGGGAAAAAATGTTTACAATAGATATATCTGATGAAGGAGTTGTATGCAGAATATACAAAGAGCTCCTAGAAAAATAGCAATGAAAAGAATAACAATTTAAAAATGAGCAAATGACTTGAACAGTTACTTCATTAAAAGGCAAATATGTTGCTAGCAAGCACAAGAAAAGGTGCTCAATATTATCGCTCATTAATTCTTAAATTAAAACAATTTGTTTTATATCGAATTGTTAAAATGAAAACAATTGATAGTACCAAATGTAGGCAAGTATGTGGAGAAACCAGGACTCTCATATATTGCTGGTGGAACCGGAAAACGGAACAACCTCTTTGAAAAACTGTCAGTTACTTATAAAGTTTAACACACATTTACACTATGACCCAGTAATTTCACTTTTTATGTATTTACCCAAGGACAATGAACACAAATGCCCACCTACCCCTTGGGGACATTTCGTATTGGAGATATTTTTTATAGTTATAACTGGAGGATGGCACTGGCATCTAGTAGGTAGAAGCCCGGGATGCTGCTAAATACCTTACAATACACAAGACAGCCCTCTCTCCCAAGAAAGAATTTTTTATCTCAAAAGTCAATAGTGCTGAGGTTGAGAAACTGTAATATACAAAAAAACTTATAAATGAATGTTCTCAGTAGACTTATTTACAGCAGCCCCCAAACAGAAAATCTCAAATATCCATCAACAGGTGACTAGATAAACAAATCATGGCATATTCATACAATAGAATAGTAATTGGCAATAAGAAGAAGCCAGCTACTAAAATATGCAACAATATGGATGCATTTCAAAAACATCTTGCAGTGAAACACATCTGTTTTATTCCATTTATATGACTCTTTAGGAAAGACAAAACAGAGAGCAGACCAGTGGTTTCCTGGACTGGAGGCAGAGAGTAGAGATTGGTTGCAAAGGGGCAGGAGGAAACTTTCTGGAATAATGGAAATATTTTATGCTTTGATTGTAGTGGTGGATACTGTACAGCATATTGTGTCAAAATTCATTAAAATGGCTCTTTTTCCGGCTGGAACCATGGAGGGTGCCGAAGAGAAGAAAAAGAAGGTTCCTGCTGTGCCAGAAACCCTTAAAAAAAGCGAAGGAATTTCACAGAGTTGAAGATAAAACGCCTGAGAAAGAAGTTTGCCCAAAAGATGCTTCGAAAGGCAAGGAGGAAGCTTATCTATGAAAAAGCCAAGCATTATCATAAGGAATACAGGCAGATATACAGAACTGAGATTCGAATGGCTAGGATGGCGAGAAAAGCAGGCAACTTTTATGTACCTGCAGAACCCAAATTGGCATTTGTCATCAGGATCCGAAGTATCAATGGTGTGAGCCCAAAGGTCCGAAAGGTGTTGCAGCTTCTTCGCCTTCGCCAGATCTTCAATGGAACCTTTGTTAAACTCAACAAGGCTTCAATTAACATGCTGAGGATTGTAGAATCATATATTGCATGGGGGTACCCAAACCTGAAGTCAGTAAACGAACTAATCTACAAGCGTGGTTATGGCAAAATCAATAAGAAACGAATTGCGTTG